TCACTCTACAGGTCGCAATTATGGCCCGATCTTCACGAATGTAGGTGGGGCTTGGACCAGAATAGAACCCTATTTCTTTTGGAGATGATCGCCAAATGTTTAGGGGTTGAAATGGACCAAATACTGAAAAAATGTCGGATTTTGCAGTAGCTATACTGATCGCAATAATAGACCAATCGACGCGGAATTTCGCATGTAGCTAGAGTTTAGGTCGGGGAAGAAGCCTACCAAGTTGGGTGGTCATCGGATAATATTTAGCGGGTAAAATAGACCATATATTTTGTGTTGAAAAAATTCAATATTTTTCATTAAACCGCGAATATTTTAAATCCCGGCGAAATCACGAAACCATGACAAGGTTACTTCTGACCTTTACATTGATGTTAACATCCAACAAAACGGATATATAGCAAAATATGTGCGATACATATGTCTATCAAAGAAGATAAGCTTGAAAGATCTCTTATATGTCGAGAACGGCTGAACTGATTTCGACAGTTTTCATTAATTCAGAATGGCCTCTTGGCAGGAAACATAAAACGTCTAAAAAAATCGCATAAAAATATCTCTCTAAAGATGAAAATATTGATTTTGTAAAATTTTCTCATATTTTTGGCATATTTTCATTTTGAATTAAACATTTGGTAATATTTCTACAGCTAACAAAACTAAGTAGTTGGGATATCAGGATATCATATACAGATCGCATTTATGGCCCGATCCTTATGAAATTTTGCATGGAGATAAGATGAGGGTCAGAATAGAAGCCTACTCTTTTTGGAGATGATCGCCATATCTTTAGGGGTTGAAATGGACAAAGAAACTGCAAAATTGTCAGCAGGTCGTAATTATCGCCCGATCCTCACGCACATTTGAATGGGGGTTACCGGACATTACAAAAGCCAAGCAGTTTTGGATGGCCATCCAAAAATATTCAATGTGTGAAATAGTTTGCCAACTTTTTTAGACAAAATACGAAAATGTCCATTCCAGTGACTTTTTGGAGAATTCACAAACACAGGAAAGGTGCACTTCTGACTATTTCGTTAGCGCTGATTTCGTGGAAGAATATAGTCAAATGTCTGTATCTCATATAGATGCGTTTCAGTCAAAAACCAATAATAAATGTTAATTTTTTGCCACTTCTGAGAGATTTTAGGTCTTTGGGACCTATAAACATAATCTACCAATAAATTGGAAATGAGCAAATTCGTTTAAGTTGCAATTATTCGAAAATTAGAGAACGAAATCTGATGGTTTTCTTTTATTATTTGTCACAATATCTTGTGGAATTCTTTCGAGTATCTCGCCCATATAAAAAGTATCGTTTATTATAGTGTTGTAGGGTATTCAACGGTCGGCCCCGCTCGACTGTAGCCTTTGCTAACGAATTATTCTTCATAAAATTTCACTATAAGTCACCAAAAAAAGGAAACACTTAAAACACTAAAATATTGCCTAATTTCGTAATGTTTTTTTTTTTTTCTCCGGTACTTTTCGAGTTTACTCAAAAAAAAATTACATAGAACTTCGTTCTATACAGAAAGTCTCAAAGGAGATAATAATCTACACCAAATTTTAGTATAAGTCTCAGAAAAAACTCTACAACAAGGCACAATGCGTTTCTACGAAATTTATATTTTAACAAGTTAAGAAGAAGAAGTTCTTTTGGAAGGTACCGCCTCCACCATTTGGAAGGAACTTGAAAAATTAAAAAACAAAAAATTAAAAATAAAATCCGATAACTACCACTTAAATGAAAATCGTTATATCGGGACTATACAAAGACGTGGAATTGCTTACGAAATTTTTTTTCATAGGCTGTAGTACCCCTTACGAACTTCAAATAGGAAATTTGAAACAGTTCCCGTGAATAATGTAGCTAAAATCATGAAAATACCTAGTATCGGGAGGTACCGTCATATGGGTGATATACGAAGAAATGGACCTGCATGCGAAATTTTTTGCCAGAGGTTGTAGTACCCACTAACAACTTCCAATACGAAATTTGAAATAATTCTGGTGAATAATGTAGCTAAAATCATGAAAATACCTAGTATCGGGACGTACCGTCATATGGGGGCTATACGAAGACATGGACCTGCATGCGAAATTTTTTGCCAGAGGTTGTAGTATCCACTAAGATCTTCCAATACGAACTTTGAAATAATTATTTTGAATAATGTGGCTACAATCAGGAAAATACCGAAAATCGAGAGGCACCGTCATATGGGTGCTACACCAAAACGTGGACCTGTACAGACAATTTTCTGTCATAGGCTGTAGTATCCATTACAAAATTAAAATACCAAATTTAAAACAATTCCGGTGAATAGTGTCGCTAAAATCGTCAAAATGCAGAATATCGGGATGTACCGTTAATGGGGGCTATACCAAAATGTGGACCTGTACAGACAATTTTCTGTCGTACGCTGTAATATCCATTCCGAACTTCAAATACCACATTCGAAACAATTGCAGTGCATAATATCGTTAAAATCGTCAAAATACCTAATACCGTTTTATGCACAGACAATTTTCTTTATAGCTTGTAGTATCCATTGCGAACTTCAAATGACAAATTTGAAACGATTCCAGTGAATAGTGTCGCTGAAATCATCAAAATGCCGAATATCGGGAGGTGACGTTATATTGGGGTCTATACGATGGCGTGGACCTGAACAGACAATTTTCTCTCTTAGGCTGTAATATCAATTACGAACTTCAAATCCCAAATTTGAGACAATTACGGTGAATAATGTCGCATAAATTGCCAAAATACCGAAAATAGGGAGGTACCATTATATGGGGGCTATATGGCCCATTTTCAATACCAAAAGACCTGCAGACATAATATACATTTGAGTAAAATTCTATCAACCTACTTCCATTCGCTCGGAAGCTAGAGTTATTTCTGCAGACGGATAGACGGACAGATGGATGGACATTGTTGGGTCTAAAATGTACAGGGTGAGATGAAAAAATACAACAAAGTCAAAAGACATAATTTTCACTTTTTTTTTTTAATTTCTTTGAATGAAAGCAGAAAATGTCGGAAATAGCATAAAATTTTAGAATAAGTTTAGAATTGGTCAACTTTAGCACGAACTATGGCCTTCAAACGGTCAATGAAACCGTCACACGCTGCCCGAATGTTGCACTACGGTATTTTGCCCCATTCCGGGCGAAGCGCTTGTTTGAGGTATTCGACACTGTGGTATTTTTCAGTGCCAACCTTGCTTTCCAAAATATTGCAGACACAATAGTCCAACGGATTGGTATCCGTAGATTTTGGTGGCCATTGTGCGCTGGAAATGAAGCGAGGAACCTCATATTGTAACCATTCTTGGGTGGCGTGTGCTGAGTGTGACCAAGGCCCAAGGTCTGCGGCCAAAATTTTTGCCCAAAGCCTTAATACACCCTCCAGAATATTTTCGCGATAATATTCAGCATTTATTCTGATGCCACGGCCGATTAATACAAGCGGAGAGCGACCATCTGCTGTTATGGCGGCCCATACCATCACCATGGCCGGCTCTTGAGTTCTGGTGGCCAACCAAAGGTGCACATTTTCAACTGACCTCTTTGGCATGTAAACACGATCATTTTGTTTGTTTACAAACTGCTGGACAACGAATGTTTTCTCATCGGAGAAAACCAAATTCGGCAGTTCACCACTTCCGGCCAAGCGAAGCAACTCTTTAGCTCTTTTGAGGTGTAAGTTCTTTTGGAATTTCAATGACCTTAGCCCGAGCTCATTTTTTAATATTTGCCGAATAGAATACTGCGATATGTTCAGCTCATGAGCCATTTTTTCGGCCACTGCGACGTTGGTTTTGATCAAGTAGCTTTTTTACTTTTCGAACCATTTTCTTCCGTCCACTACCTTGACGTCGGGCTACCAGTATCACGGTAACGTAAATGCTGGAGTGCTCTAACAATAGCCACTTGTGTTTTCCCAGCCAAATATAAAGAAATCACACTATCACGCTTGAATTCCATCACGATCAACTTTTTTTCTGGAAAATGTTCACCTAAATGCTTTTGTACGCTTGTAAACAATATAATCAGCTGTCACTGGAATAATTTTAATAGATGTCGGACGAGTGGCTTAGAAGTGGCAGCTGTTTTTTCATCTCACCCTGTGCCAAATTTCAAAGCTCTAGATTGGATTAACCTGACTCTATCCTGATTTCAACAAGCAGACGGACATCGCTAAATCGTTTTATAATTTTATTATGATCAGGAATATGTATCCTTTTTGTCGTCTCCGACGAATATTTCGAAATGCGGCAAATGAAATGGCAAATTAAATTTATGGTGAACGGGTATACAAAGGTCGTAAATCACGATGAATATAGACAATATTGATCCATTCTTTGCTGTACCTCCCCACACAAGAAGTCAACATTTTAAATAATAATAACTCCCCTGAAGTGGAAATCAATATCCGATTTTCTTCACATTTTTCTCATCGCATTATTTCTGTCTATTTTGGAGATGTAAAAACGGGAAATAATGATCTTCGGTCTTTGTTGTTATCAATTTTACCACATTTTTAAAGTCATTTCCCTTTAATACTTATTTTATTGAGATTCCATTAATTAGATTTAATTTCATTTAAATATCATAATTTCGAATTAACTTAATCTCTTTGAATTAAAAAAAATACAATATTTATTTCATTTGTAACAATCAAATCAGTGAATGTAAATTTCCCCATCAAAACATTTGCATTGCAGAGTAGTAGCACCCCACACCCACACCGAATATTTACTCACCTAACACAAACCAGCCTATCACCACAAAATCAGTCATTCAGCCAGGCAGCCAGGCAGCCACTCAGTCAGTCAATAAATAAATATTTACACAATTCTCTCTATGATTACATTTATTTTTTTCTGTTTTCTATTTCCAATCTCAACTTGAGACTACTTACGCTGAATATGATTTCTTACGATTTCGAATTTTTTTTTCAATTTCCATATCATTCGTTGCAGGCGCAAGGACAGCAGTGCTCTACAACGTTCCGCTAGCATTGACTCCTTTGCCGAAGTGGTGTGGAGCGATTCGCCACGACCATCGCTGGAAATACCCCGACCCGTGGTGGCACCCTTCAGCAAGCGTCCCTCGGCCAGCAGTTTGTACAGCAATTGCAGTGCTTCGTCACAAAGTGCCCAATTGAATATCAATGAGCTGAGTGTGGGCGGAGGCATGATGGGTGGCAGTGGCGGTGGTGGTGCAGGGAGTTGTGGCATGACATCAGGTGCTGGGCTTGGGAGTAGTGGTAATATTGGTGTTGGTGGTGCCATGGTTGGCATCACCACCAGTGCCAATAATCGGCGTGAGAGTTTATTAAGTCCATCGTCGACCCGCCGCAACAAGCTGACAAGAATTATAAATGGTAAGTCAGAAGAAATGTTAGATTTAAATCGTAACCTTTGTGGGGAAAAGGTGTGTTCGTTGGTTATGAAAGGTAAGGAAAAATTCTATGGAAAGTGAAGGCGATGGAAAATGAAAAAAAAGAAGTCATATTTTAATAATAAGCTTACTAAACAAAGTAAGAAAGGGCTAAGGTCAACCACATCCGTTTAAGTGAGCTGTTATCTCAGTGGACAAAAATCCAAACGTACGAGGTTGACTATTATATATTTTTATACCTTCCACCATAGTATGGAGGGTATATTCAATTTGTCATTCCGTTTGTTATACCTCGAAATATACATTTTAGACCCCTCAAAGTATTTATATTCTTGATCAGCATAAAATCTTATGTCGATTTAGCGATGTCCGTCCGTCTGTGGAAATCACTCTAGCTTCCGAACGAAATGAAGTAGATTGATAAAATTTTACACAAATGTACATTATGTCTGCAGAACTTCTGGTATTGAAAATGGGCCAAGTAGGTCTACGTTTTGGTATAGCCCCCATATAACGATACCTCCCGATATTCGGTATTTCGATGATTTTAGCGACTTTATTTGCCAGAATTGATTCAAATTTGGTATTTGAAGTTCGTAATGGATACTACAGCCTAAGCTTGTCTGTGTAGGTCCACGTCTTCGTAAAGCCCCCCTATAACGGTACCTCCCGATATTCGGTACTTTGTCGATTTTAGCGACATTATTCACCAGAATTGTTTCAAATTGGTATTTGATATTCGTAATGGATGCTTCAGCCTATGAGGCCTTTTTAGTCCTCAAAATGCACAATTCATTCTGTTTGACAAATTTATTTAATCAAAACTTCAGACTTTTAAGGTTTTATAAATTGTTAAAACTTTTCCTCTTTTTTTAAGTTTACTGAGAAGGATAGAAATAAAACCATGCCATAATAGACCCACATCTTATTTTAATGTCCTAAACTATGTCAACGTCTCCATATGTAAACCCTAGAAGCCAACAGAGACCTCAATATCAAATTTCGGGATTCCAGGTCAATCCTCAATACTAAATTTCCAAAACCCCCTCTATATCTCAATTCCAGATGCCAAGAGAAATTTGAGGACTTCAGACCTATCCCTTCACCCCATACCAAATTTAGTACTACTTAGTACTTATCGTACAAATATAGAAGAATTTCTCAAGAAACAAGATATCTCAATCCCAGAAACCAACACCCAATCGCAAATTTCGAGATTTCAACTCTCTCCCTTCACCCAATAAATTTTAGTACTATTCAGTACTATTCGTACAAATATAGGACGCATTTCCAAATCACCAACAAATCTGAAACACAGATAATCTAAATATCAAATTTCAAAGTTTTATCTCTATCCCTTCACCCAATACCAAATGACCACAACATTAGTACATATTTTCAAAACAACCTCAACCATAACCCCAGACACCAATAGTGAAATCCATATCAAATTTCAGGATTTCACCTCTATTCCTTCACCCAATACCAAATTTAGTACTATTTAGTACTTTTCATACAGTTAAAGTACACATTTCCAAAACCACATCCATAAATCAATTCAAAGATACTAACAGAGACCAAATATCAAATTTGGGGATTCCAGCCCTATCTCTTAACCCAATACCAAATTTAGTACTATTTAGTAATTTAGGGCTGATATAATTTATATCTGCTCACCCAATACCAAATTGTACCAAATATAGTACTATTTAATACTTTTCATGCACTTATAGTACACATTTCCGAAACCATCTCCATATATCAATCACAGATGTTAACAGAGACCTCAAAATCAAATTTGGGATTCCAGCCCTTTATCTTAAGCCAATAACAAATTTTGTATCATTTAGTAATTTTCGTACAAATATAGGTCGCATTTCCAAATCACTACCAAATCTCAAAAACACATGAGATCAGTCGTCTAAATATCAAATTTCTGAATTTTATCTGTGTCCCTTCACCCAATACCAAATTTTGTACCATTTACACATTACAAAATTACAACCAGAGACACCAAATGTGACATTCATATCAAAATTCACAATTTCAGCTCCATTCCTTCACCTTATACCAAATATAGTACTATTCGTTTAGTTATAGCACAAATTTTCAAAACCCCAATATCAAATATGAGGCTTTCAGCCCTATCTCTTCACGAAGCAATAAATTTAGTACCATTTAGTACTTTTCGTACAAATAGGGTACGCATTTCCAAACCACTGCCAAATTTCACACACAGATACCATAGTTTTAATTTTTGAGTTTTATCTTTATCCCTTCAAACAACACCAAATATAGTACCATTCAGTTCAGTACAATTGTGGGACACATTTCCAAGACCACCTTCTTATTTCAATTCCAGATGCCAAGAGATATCTCGGTATCAAATTTGGGGACTCCAACTCTAATACCAAATTTAACACCATTTAGTACGATAATAGTACGCATATCCAAAACCAGCAGCTTCTCTTAACCAGAGACACCAACAATGACATTCATATCAAATTTTAGGATTTCAAATCTTTTATTTCCAAATTTAGTACTACTTGGTACTTTTCGTACAATTATAGTACACATTTCCAAAACCACCTCTTTATCTGGATACCTCAGTATAAAATTTGAGGATTTCAGCCGTATCACTTCATCCAACAAATAATTTAGTACCATTTAGTACTTTTCGTAGAAATATGGGACGCATTTCCAAACCACCTCCAAATCTAACACACACAGATACTATAGTAATCTCAATATCATATTTTAGAATTTTATCTCTATCCCTTCACGCAACACCAAATATAGTACCATTCAGTACTCTTCGTACAATTATAGTACACATTTAAAGCCTGACTACACATGAAGATCGACCCTAATACCAAATATCAAGTTTTACGCACAATCTGTTCACCCAATATCAAATAGTCCCAAATATAGTACTTTTCGTCCACTTGTAGTACACTTATCGAAGACCCCCCCCCCCCCTTTACCACAAGCTTACCACCAATAGATACCCCAATACAAATATCCATATTTCCAGCTTCATCCGTTCTCACTAAACCAAAATTTTCCAAATTTAGTACACCTTGATTCTGATATTAAAATTCAAGCTTTTAGATCTTTCCATTCCATTCCATATTTAATTCAAATTAGTGACTTTTAGTAGGAATTGGCAAAAACTCCCTCTGATCATACGCCTATTCCTTTAGAATCCATCTCTAAGGTTGTTTTTGTAAACAAGTAAAACAGCTGTAAGTTCGTCCGGGCAGAACTTTGAGTACCATCCACCATTTTGGTAGAAATTTGGCCATTTTCAAAACCTGGACCTGCACAGACAATTTTTTGACATAGGCTGTAGTATCCATTACGAACGTCTAATACAAAATTTAAAATAATTCCGGTAAATAATGTCGCTAAAATCATCAAAATACCGAATATCGGGGCGTACCGTTATATGGCGGCTATACGAAGACGTGGACCTGCACAGACAATTTTCTGTCATAGGCTGAAGTAATCATTACGAAATTCAAATACCAAATTTGAAATAGTTCCGTCAAATAATGTCTCTAAAATCTTCAAAATACCCAATATCGGGAGGTACCGTTATATGGGGGGGGGGGGGGGCTATAGGAAGACGTGGACCTACATTTTCTGTTTTATGCTGTAGTATCTATTACGAACTTAAAATACTTAATTTGAAACAATTCCGGTAAATAATATCGCTAAATTCATCAAAATACCGCATATCGAGAGGTACCGTTATATGGGGGCTATACGAAGACGTGGATCTACATGGCCCATTTTCAATACCAAAAGTCCTGCTGACATAATACACATTTGAGTAAAATTTTATCAACCTACTTCCTACTTTCGTTCGGAAGCTGGAGTGATTTCCACAGACGGATAGACGGACAGACGGACGGACATGGCTAAATCGACATAGAATTGTATGCTGATCAAGAATATATATACTTTGTGGTGTCTAAAATGTATATTTCGAGGTGTTACAAACGGAATGACAAACTTAATTTACCCTCCATATTATGGTGGAGGGTATAAAAAGGCAATCCTGTGATTCACCATTGCTCTTCACACTATCCATTGCCGTATATTGCTATATCTCTCTTTCTCTCTCTCGTCCATATCTGGGTCAATACTAATAAAATTAACTAGCAATTGAGCAACCAGAATGAAACTCTTTCGAAACTATGTCAACAAAATAAAAAAGTTGTCAAAGTAAGTTTCCCTATTTTTGTGGAAAATACTAAAGAAGGGGTGCAAACTAAAGTTCTTACAAAAGAAAATTCTGCATTCATCGATAATAAGTAGCTACGTGATGATTGCAAGAAAAGTGCATTGGCGTGGCAGAGAGTGGCTGATACCATCCATGAATATATCTATATTCCCCTTTAAAAAGTTCTTTAGATTCAAAAAAAAAAGACTAATTTGTTGTTATTATTATTTGATGTTAATGTATGTATGTGCTATTAGCCCCCTTCTCGCCACGCCTCTGTAGCCACGCAAATGATAAGACCACAGCTCAACGCATAATAAACATAAAACATAAGTAGTACCTAACAACTTTAGGTAAGTGGATGAATGAATGAATACCCAAAGTGTACTCTGTACAACATAAGCGTACTCACAAAGTATGAATAGAATATTTATTATTCTTGACTCTATCTTTCGTACTCCCCCCCCCCCTTCTTTCTTTTCGTTGTGCTCCTTGAATAGTTTATGAATAATTCAATTCACTTAATGTTAATATAACTTCTTCTCAATATTGGAACAAAACTTCTATACGATTATTGTGTGTTAATGTGTAGATATCGTTGCAGTTATGATTGATGTTTGGTCACATTGCTGAGGAAGGGGGCGGAGTGGGAAAAAGGATATGTGTATTACATGATTTCTGATTTTGTATTTGTATATCAATAATAATTCAGCTGTAATACAAATACTCTGCAACCCAAAAAATAATTACAGGAAAAATCCAGCAGATTACGAAAGTAGAGTTGAAAAAAAGAAAACACGTGTATCGGCCTTTTCAAGTTTACATCGCAAAGTAACCTAAATAGAGGGGGCAA